TGGCCTAATATTTGGATTTATATTGAGGTCCATATTCACAATAAATCCATTGGCTTTAACATACCTTGCATTACCCGGGACATTAATTATCAGGGCCTTTATGATGATTATCGTACCGCTCATTATAGCATCCCTGTCCACAAGTAATTACTCTATTTTAATACAATAAACAATTAATTATGTTAATGATCAAGGTATCGCTGGCACTAAGGAGGGCGAAAATAAACGGCTAATTATATACACATTTCTATTGATCATATTGTTTGCGTCATTTTGTTCATCATTTGGCGCTATAATGGTGTCGGTTATGAAACCCGGGGTCAGACCTACGGCTGATATTGAAAGGGATAGGGATGATAGTCAGGGATCAGTAGGTTTTGATGTCAAACAAATGATCGCGAGTCAGGACGAGAGTATTTATGATGTGTTTATGTATGTATTTCATGGAATATTCTGTATTTAAAACAATAATTATTTGAAAGTTTGTATGAATTCATAGGAATCTAATACCGGATAACATAATCGCCGCCACATTTACCACGCATTACACGGCACTGGTAGCCATAGACAAGCATAACCTGACGTTAGGTTATAAGAAACAGGCGGAACGGGCGTTCAAACCTAATTTGTTGGGTTTGTGTGTATTCTCACTAATACTCGGTTTTGCGGTTTTAAATTTGGGTCCAAAGGCCGACACTATTAAATGCATTTTAGTCGAGACCAATGCCGTGGCTATGAAAATATTGACGGCACTTATCAGGTACACTTATAAATGTTTTAACGAGATATAACAGTAGTGCTTAAAATCTATTTTATTATAAATTAAATATTTTTTATATGAAAATATAATTCATAGAATAGTTTTGTATATTGCATACATAAATGTGCTTATTTAAATATAATATGTTAATAAATGTTAATACTTATATTTTTATATTAACATTAATGCCCAGGATAATGCCGATCGGTATGTTTTGCTGGATGACGGTACAGGCTATTAAAATGAAGGCACCGGGCAAAATGTTAGGACAATTAGCCTGGTTTTATGGCACTGTATTCCTAACGTACGGCTGTATCTGGTTCATATTCTATCCGACCATTTATTTTATATTAACAAGGAAGAATTGTTTCAAAATGTATTTCAATATAATTCCGGCTATGATTGTCGCGTTGGGATCATCATCAAGGTAAATTTTAATAAAAAAAACTATGTATAATTTTACCATGGTGTCTATTTATTTCAGTGCACTTACATTGCCATTCACGATGAAATGTAATGAGGAGAAAAATAACCTTGCACTTCCCGTGTCTCGATTTGTACTACCGTTAGCTATGACAATGCATATGCCTGGTGCTGCCACCTATTATCCTATGGTAACCTTGTTTGTGGCGCAAATGCATGGCATGGTGTATACTTTTCAGCTAGCAACAAGTCTTGTGTACGTATTCATCATAAATATTTGTATTTTGTATAGTTAATAAGATTATATTGTATTAATTTAACTAGCATATTTTGCGTAATAATGTCAATGGCTTTACCGGGTACTCCATCTGGTGGCGGATCACTTGTATTCTTTTTAACAACCTGTGCGTTAATTGGCATTGATAATCCTATGGATGTGCTAGCTTATATAATTTCATTAGAGTGGTTTTTGTGAGTATAATATATTATTAATTCAAAATTTTTAAATTTGTTTAATGTAAATTATTGTTTTACAGGGAGGGCTTGAGAACGGCAACTAACATTACTGGCGACTCTGTAATCGCACATATCGTTCAAAAATTGATCAAGATGTAAATTAAGTCATATTATTTATATCCCAGACATTTATTACTATTCATGTATAATATACATTGGATATTATACTTTGTATCTTAAATATAAACATTTCACTAGTCTAACATAAAATTAATATTTATAAATTTAATATATGCTTTTTTAAATTGTTTAAGAATTCATAAAATATATTATTGTAAAATTTTTTATTTTTAAACAGGGACAATTCAGTTGAAAAGAACAGCAGTAATAATAGAGAAATGGAACAAATGAGTATATTTTAAAATAATATTTTTAATTTAAATTTATAGCATGTTTTTATTGAACTACTTCATAAAATGTTTATAAATGAATAAATTTAAGAACATTATAATTATTCTATCATGTTAATGGTAAACATAATTAATTTTAATTCTATTGTCAAAGTGCATTCACATTAAATATTTAAATAAATTAAAAATATATAGTTTATATAAAAATTAAAGTTAGCACTACAGACGTTTGAATAAAATAACATTGTATCGTTTACATTACTAAAAGTTTACCTAAACAAAATAAAATAAAATTATTACAAAATAATAAAAATACATATTTAATTATAAACCAAATATACCCAGATAAACACAATTAGACAAATACATATTATAGTAAATAGTATCATCACTCAACATGTTTGTCAAAATATTTGCTCCAGTAATTAGCATCATTATTGAAATTGTACTTGCGCCAATGGTTATGTCCACAAAATCCATGGTTCCCATGACCCTCGTCAATTACATAATACCATCCATTGTGTCTGTGATGTCCATGATATCCATGTCTCCAACTATGATGCTCGCGATGTCCAGACATATCGGGCATACCATGTGGTCCGTTATATTCATACGTAAATCCCTTATATAAAGGGTGCGGAGGTGTCTGTCCCAGCCATACCCAGCGCCCCATACGAGGGTTTGGTTGTTCCCGAGTTTGAGCAGGGCATTCCTGATTAATTTTATCCTGATCTTTTATTTCTACAAACTTGTGGTGTCGTCTGCACATTGCTTTATAATTAAAATTAAACTAGTTAATTTATTAAATTTCTAAATATTTATAAAGATATTAATAAACAAATTTTTAAAAATTAAAAACTATTATTATTATTTTATTTTTAATAAATTAATTACTTATGAATTACCAATATAAAATAATCACAATTAAATGTTTAATAAAAGTTATTTTTCTTATATTAAACACCAGTTTCACTTATATTATAAACTACTGTATATAATAACAAGACTTTATATACAATATATAAACTAAAATCAATTTGAAATCTATGTATTTTGTTACATCATGTTATGTCATAATTTTGCAGTTTAATAACATTTGCTCTGCAATTTTATGTTATATTAAATGTACAGGTATAAAACATGGGAATACCTTATATTATATACAGATCTAACATATTATGTAGAGTTTGAAACCGAAATGACGTTAAAATGTTTTTATTATTAGTGAAAGTGACGTAAAAATGTTTTCTACTTTGTATACATGATATGTATTTCATATACACTATAACTAATAATTTAGCAGTATAAGTGCAATCTAGTGCAATAAGTTAGTAATACTTTTTGTTAAATGTTATTAATAGTTAAGCTTTTAACAACTAATTAATATTATTTAAAATATTTATTAAATATATTTATACATTATATAAAACATTATCATGCTCATTAATGTTTATTTGTAAATTTTTGTTTAAATAAAATAATGTACGTTTTATTTATTAAATTATGCGTCTAGGGTAAATATTCATATTTATAAAAACAAATAATCACTCTGTTAACCTATTTTCAATTGTTTTGTCAAATATTGGGTAGTTTCAATTGTAGTTTCAATTGGTTTAAATATAAATACTTCAGCTATATGTTTTTGATCATTACACATTATTATGTTTAAACATTAATCATTTAAATAAAATTTACAATGATAGATATCTAAATTGAATAATGAATATTTTATAAGTTACAAATTAACTTTTAATCAATTTTGGTTTATGAATGAAATTCTTATATTGATAAGTTTCCATAAATCTATTAAAACCGATCAAACATTTATTAAATAAAATTTTTAAAAAACTATTCAAATTAATATAACTATAGCCCAAATTATTAAATTAATGAACCATAGTACATTCCTCGCGATTCATCCAAGGTTTTTACAGCAACGAAACACCACTTTAGTTATTTGAAAATAGCAATTAAGATTATCCTTATCAATAATACATGAGATTATTAATTTAATCATGTTAATTAACTGAATTTTATTTTTAACTAGTACTTATCTATCAACATTGTGTAGTTTAGAGACGTGTTGACCATGCTGAATTTATAGATGTTTTCTACAATGAGATTGACAATATAGAACATGTTGAATTATTTTTCGTATTAATTTAGTGTTAGTAATTTCTGTGTAATAATATCGGATGACTTATGAACATGTACAAATATTTCTAAAAATATATTTATTATGTGTTTAAAATAAACAAAATTACAATGAAAAACATTTTCTAGATAATTTACAATTAATCTGATATTTAATTGTAATTATGAAAATATTTATTAGTTGTCAAACTGTATTATAAATAATTTTATAACAGTTTATTAGATTTACAATGAAATGATACACCCATGGACAAGCAAAACTGGTGTCGCTTTTTTGCTTATATCAATTGAATGCGGAACTGGATCTCAGATCTAATACAATAATAATTTTATCACACTTTTCAACCTACTAGTTGTGTCTCTGATTTGAATTAAGTTGTACTTGAACAAAAATGATCTATCAAGTTGCTTTTCTAGTAATCGGTGAGCGCATTTTAAAATGTATTAAATGTATTAAATTTAAACATGTTTAAAATGTATTATCAAAATCTATATATAATATTACCTTTTTACCACAATTAGTTAGCGCAGTATATTGTTGCGAATTTCCGAGTGCTCCAGGTTTTTACCAAAACAAATATAAAATATGAACCTGGTACCAACATTTTTCTACATTTTTATAGCCCTCCAGTTGTTTGTGGGGTCGACAGACTACACTTGCAGTGGAAAGGATGGCAATAATTTCACGCACATCACTACCTACTCACGTGACCAGGCTTGTACACCGGCCAGTGAGGCAACAATTAGCGATAACCTAGTACAAAACGATGGCCATGGTAACACCTCGATCGTTTCACTGCAGGAGCTAACTTCCAGCCAGTACCCTGCTGATGGAGGTAGTATAATTATGAAAATTATTTAGCTAGCTTCAATAACATAAAATATAAATGATGATTGTGTATACGTTATGTAGGCCTGGCACGTGGCGATATTTTATACCTGGCTATTAGTGGATGGTTGGAAGGCAAATATGTGTACGTGAAAATCGTGTACCTCGATGAGGTTCATTTGAAAAAGTGCTCATCGATATTGGGTAACTCATACGTGCCCTCGCAAACGTCCCAGTTGCTTATTAGCGATACCCTGGACCTTGATGTGTTGATAAATCCTGCCGGTGCTTACGATGGCTTTAGAACGGGCTGCACTACCGTCTGTAATGGACAGGGATACTATTTGTAAATAGTTAAATTTTACTAGTAGTTATAGGTTTAAATTTAATTAATATTTAATTGTGTTTGTAAAACTAAATGAATATTAAATAAATTTCAAATCCATTGTTCTTGTTAAAATAGTGTGTTATGTTATATTCATTAAATTAATAATTGTATTTAGTAGTTAAGCTTTTAAAAACTAAGTAAGATTGTTAAAAATGTGTTTAATATATATTTATATACATCATTTAAAACATTATCAATCTTGTTAATTTTTAAATTTTTATGTAATTATTATTTGCAGATATTTGTTTAAATAAAATGATTTAAATTAATTTACTAAATTATGCTAATATTAATATTTATAAATAAAATATTACTCTGTTAACTTAATTACTTTTTTTTGGTCAAATATTGATAGTTTTAATTACAGTTTTATTTAATTCATATACAAATAATTACAGCTATGCTTTGTGAATAATGAATATTTTTAAGTTACAAATTAATTTTTAATCAATTTAAAAATTGAATTTATAAATGTTTTCATACAATGAGATTGTCAATATAGAGCATGTTGAATTAGTTTTCGTATTAATTTAATGTTAGTAATTTCTGTGTAATAATATCGGATGATTTGATGAACATGTACAAATATTTCTAAAAGTAAATTTATTATTTGTAAACTAAATTACAATGAAAAATATTTTTAAGATAATTTCAAGTAATGTGATATTTAATTGAAATTATGAAATAATTTATTAGTTGTCAAACGGTATTATGAATAATTTATTTGATTTACAATGAAAGTATATGTCAATTTTATCTCACATGTGAACTTCAATTAATTGAAAACATATCACTTACAATTATGAGCTATAATTTTATAGCATTTCATATAAACATTTATATTAATTAATTTGGTGAAAATGTATTACAACTGAATAATAAAATAAAATGTATATTACCGTATTCCCGCGCAAACACCGGCATGCCGTTATAAGTGAGGTGTAAAACCGGTTTCTTAAATTTAAGTCTCAATAACTAACATTTATAAATAAGTGTATTAAAGTTTATACATTGAATTATAAGTGTATGTAATCTTATCAGATATTTTATCAATATCTAAACAGGTGGTCATAAGACTAAGAATGTGAATATTTTATTCATTTTAAATGCTTTCTATTCACTCTGAGAAGTAGTCTTATACAGTATAAGTTATAATATTAAAGTACGCAATTATTAAACACATTTTTGTAAATTCCGACGTGGTCTAGTGGCTAGGATATCTTAATGGCTGATAATATCAGTCAAAGTGGTTTAGATGAACCACCAAACAAACGAAGACGAATGTCTTATACTATTGATAAGAAATTAGAAGTATTGAAGATTTTAGATGAAGTGAATGGTAATAAATGCGAAACAGAAAGACTTACAGGTATTAAGAGAAGTATAATACAAGATTGGAAAAGAGACGAATCAAAATATCTTCAAGTAAAAGGTTTGAAAAGTTTTAATTATATTAATTTTAAATGATATTATAATAACCATGAAAAATTATACGGATTTTTATTATCCATAGAGTAATCAATTTCTATGATTTTGATTGGTTTTTGTTTCCTACTTTTGTTGGACTAATTATTACTATGATTACATTATATTTAAAATAAATAGCTGACAATTCAAACAAAGTAAGAGTTGTGCGGTGTATTACTGACCCTCAAAAATGCATGGAAAGGGCTAAATATTTTGAGATGGAACAGGAATTGTATGAATGGTTTTTGAAGGAAAGAGAATCAGGTCATGAGATTGACACAAGTCGATGGCTGAGAATAGCCAAAGGATTGTTCCAAAACACATATCCAGACAAAGGTAATTCCGACGTGGTCTAGTGGCTAGGATATCATATGTATATATGATATATATCGCAGATCCATTGGAGTTCTCTGCAACAAATGGTTGGCTCTGGCGATTCCTCAAGCGATACGATATCAGGAGCAGAGCTGTGACATCAATAGGACAATCCATCCCTACTAATGCTCAAGAGCTTATTAATGGTCTATTCTCTTATTTTGATGC